AAGAATCATTTGAAAGAATGAGTATAACGCCGAAAAGATCTAAACAAGGATGTGATTCTGTTGAGAATAACGTTAACAAGAATATTGATCACAATTTCGTAAAATATTCAAAGGATGGTGTTAAACATCCGCCTCAAATGAGAAGAGTATTAGAATTAGAAAAAGTTAATATAAAATTAGATAATACATTAGACAGAATGTTTCTTGAGCTTTCTCCTGAAGATTTTACGAGCGAAACTGAGGATGCCGATTTAAATATGACAGAGATAATAGATAGTTTATGTAATAGATATAATTTTCAAGACGAATGTAGAGATAATGAAATTTCTAACATAATTAAAAATGATTCAGATAACGTAATCGTTTCAACGAGTAATCAAGATCTTGTTGAAGATATGGGAAGTGCAAAATATGACTCTATCAAATGTGATCATGATGTATCAATCACAAAATGTACAATGAACGATATTCCTGATGAATTTGATGATATAGAATCTTATGTACCAATATATGAAAGAATACAAAGGAGATGTAAAAAGGATACTACTAGAAAAAGTAAAAGATTTAGTATAGCAAGATGTAGTTTCGACTTTGATGCTCTTATGAATGAAACAGATATAGAAAATATATAGCTTTTGTATGTATTGTACTTAGATATATTTTTTATGTTAAATGTTAAAAAATTTTAAAGAATTTTTATACGGCAAATATTATAATATTGTATATATACATATATATTTAATTAAAAATCTATAAAAATATATTTAATTAAAAATTTTTACAGACTTTTGTGCAAAATAATAATCTTTATTCATATCATAATCTATTTCATTTCTTTTCTTAAAACAATTTTCACTCATTCATATATATGTATACATATACATATACATATACATATACATATACATATATACATATATATATACATGTATGTTTGTATTATTATTAGCAATGTAAAGTATTATTAGTACTTTAATATTTAGTCAGAATGTGATAGAAAAGATTTTGAAATGACACTGAAATATGTAGCCATTCATCCGATAGTAATATCGACCCAGGTCTCGGCTACGTGGAAGTTGTTGTATCTGAAGACTCGCGAATTAACGATGAATCTATTTTAAAATACGCGATATTGGGATGATTTGCCATTTATCGAGAATTCATGTTCCAATACCAACTGGAGGATAATAAGTCCTCGCTTACGGATGGCAGAACCGTCATAACAACGGAAGCTTCAATCACTACATTATTAAGTACGATCATTCGTGCTTTTCGAATTTCATGCAGTAAAATAAAGTCCAGAAGATTTAAAGTGGGACGTAATTAAACTCGCGAAAACCCACGTCTAGCACACCAATTAGCTCGCGGATGTTCTTCCTATCTCATCCGTAAGAAAGAAGATGTACAATACAAGAAAGGCTCTATAAGCTTCCATGTAAAAATTTAATCCATAGTGACAAACCGAGTTCTTAGACAATGTATCGACTCCTCGCCGAATATACCGAATTCTCACTGACCATCAAGGTGACATTTTTAAATGATTTTGTAATAGAAAAATCTTTCAGATCGACGATTTTGAGTTTCAATGGAAGTTAAAATGAAAATGTAATTATATATCAATAACATCGATTAGATGTTACGTTGATATAGTTTTACTATAATATAATTTTATCATAATATTTGTTGATATAGTAATTCTCGGCCATTTCTATTTCAAAGGCAAATAAACTCTATTAACAATCAATCGATTTTAATGGAATTTTAAATTATAATACTATTATAATAATTAATTATTATTTTTGGCATAATATAATAAATCAATTAAAAAAGAAGTGATGGATAATTTTTGATTATTAACAAACGAAAAGTAAATATAGTATACTCTGATACAACGTTTTTATTTTGAAAAATCAATTATACGTACTTTTTATAACGTTTGAGCAGGAAAATAAGCTTCAAATATTTTTTCGTTTTTTTTTTTTTTTTTTTTTTTTTTTTACTTTTGGAAATGATAGATACTAATATAATATAACGATCATTTGATTTTTTATTTTATCGAATAACTTCAATTTCTCGTTTACTTAATGATAAGTCAAATATTGCTAGTCTAATCACGATGGATCTTTACGATTATCCTCTCTTTTCTCATTATTCTCTTGATCTCTTTGTCTTCATAATTTAATCAAAAATAATGTTAATTATTAATCGATCTGATCGGTATTTTGTTACTCGATTTCAATTCAATCACATCCTGTCATCAGATCCTAGAGGATTTCAAGCGACCTCCCACTGTGCAGGGGAGGTGCTTTTTAGCGATCAACAAAATTCTGGTACCGTTTTTAAACTATTCAAAAATTTATTTTCATAATCGTAACTTCTCATATTTGATTGTCTTTTTACGAAATAATAAGTGATTATTTTCAAATTGAGAAAAAATGTTATATATTATAACTTATTTATTTTTTTAATTGTCATAGTTCTCATTTTATAACAATGATCACTATTGTAAACGATAAAAATGAAAGAAGAAAATTTATCAAATTTATCTTAGCATTTTATTTCGCTGTCTTTGTTAGCATTACTGACAATTCGTAAAAAAAAATGGTCAATACATACCTGATTAATCCCTTATAAATTCTACAACGTTATTGATATGCTATTCTCAATCGGTAAAACGTTTCAGTTTATTTCTATTAGACAACTTGAAAAAGTTTTATCTTTTTTGAAAAAAATTATGCTGGTGTCTTTTGAAAATAGTTTATGTATACAAATATTATTTAAAAAAAAAAAATCAACAAAGTCATATCCTCTTAATCGAGGATTAAGAGGATAATCTTCATTTTTAAAATAAAAACTTGTTCATCAAAATCGGTCAAGGATTATACTCGGACTCACTATTAACGCAGACGTTGTTTCTGACATTTTGCTTGAAAAAAATGGATATGTGGTCACCACGCTTTTAAAATTTGTAAAATCAGTTTAATTCTATATTCATTTTTTCATAAAAATATCTCAATTTAATGTAATGATGTTTATTTATATATACTATTTTTATATTAACTTTATATATTTCTTTATTCAATATTTCTTTACACATACTATTATTTTTTGAACGTGTCCATTCTCTTATAATCCAATACAAAGATTATTAACTTATGGTAATTAAAATATGATATATAAATTGTAGATTTCAGATTATTTAAATATCTTATGAATACCGCGTTGATCGCAATCCTAGATTTTTTAATTGACACTGTTGGATTATTATTCATATACAAGTAGAATTTCGAATTAAGAAATTCAATTAGGACTCGCGCTTCAATTGATGTAAAATTAATGTTGAAATCTTCAGTTAGAATCATAGATATTTTATCATAATTTTTGATCAAACAGAGCAGCACCTTTTGTGGGATGGATAACCAATTATGAATAAAATTCATGAAATTGGTTTATTCGATATAATATATATTACCATGATGAGAATGGTTTGTCAATTTTGCAACAAATAACGAGCTACACATATTTCTCCGGTTGCTGTACAATTCACTGCCAAACAGTGTTCTGGTGTAAATTTGAATCCATATGATCGATGACAATGATTCTCCCGTTATTTAAATATCGATAAATTGCAACTACACGATTCTTCACACCAGGCCTATTCAATTGAACGAAAGTGAGTATGTCTCAGCGACTTAGAGATTGAATACAATATTTACAATTTTATAATCACAAATCACAATAATAATTTGGATTACAAAATATTTACAGTTTTATAATCTAAATCATGGAAATTCTGCGGTCAGCTATTATTGATATTCTTGACTAATTTTGTTAAGGCAATTATTATATTGTTACTTACTACTATTAGTCATTATTACTATTTACTACTACTAGTTATTACTATTACGTACTAGTACTACTTACTACTAATAAGAATACTATTACTATTGTTATTTTTATTATTATTATTAATATGTTCCTGATTATTTTCATTTCAGAATTCATAATTCATTTCATTTTCAGAATTCTATAAGTTCTTCATCGTTCTTGGTTTTATAATGGTTTACATCACAATCAGTACAGGCATAATTCTTAAACGATTTTGATAAACAAAATCTCATTTTAAAGATGAAGGTTTAAGCGTGGACATGGCTTTTTAGAACTTTTGAAAAAGCTTTATTTTCTTTGAAAAAAATCATGTTAAATAGAAAATAATTTTAATTTATTATCTTACTAAACGTAAATTTTTGAACTAGAAAACGTGTCCTTCATTTAATATCAATAAAAACAAACTTTCAGATGATTTTGCTAGTTATACCGTCTGTTCTTTTTTTACATACTGATGTTTAAACATCAAAGATCACTTTTTCCATACGACCAAACTTCAATACTTTATAATTTTCACAATTTTTTAATTATTTAGACACTCATTAATGTACAGTATAATAAAATTAATATTTAAACAACCGGAAATTTTTAATAACATTACAAAGATCGTAAGATTATCTATGTAATTAATATAAAATACATAAAAGTTGATCTTTGGATAAACATAAATTATGAATTCGGGTGGGAATGAATAATAAATTAAATTATTTCTCTAACATTTAAATATTAAATGTACGAGGTATGTGAACTGTATTTAATTAATAGTTAAACAATAGAATATTTTTAACAACATTATAACGAACGTATAATATAAAATACTTAATAATTAAAATTTCGATACGTGTAAATCTTAAACTTAACTTGAATACTTCATATTTTCGATTAAGATATATAAACATAATAAACCAATATTTAAGCAATAAATCCGTGTTTATATCAATAAAAACAAACTTTTCAATGACTTTGACTGATACCAAAACAGTTTTCTTTTGCACTCCGTCGAGTAAACATCGAATCAGTCTCTTTCCCAACGGGTAAACTTAAATAAACCGTACTTTCGATTATTTTAGAATTATTTAAACGATTTAAAATGTGAGCGTAATATAATGAATATTTAAACAATACCACATTTAATAAAACATTTCATGGTTCAAAACATGCATTAAATATAAAATAGAATTAAATTAATATTTAAATAGAGTTACAATTTGAACGTGCGGTTGTTATTTATTTGCATAAATAAAAACAAATTTTTCACTTACTTTTACTATTATCGAAACAGTTTTCTTTTTCATAACATCAAAGCAATCTCTTTCCAAACGGATACGTTAAATAAATTATACTTTTGATTATTTTAGAATTATTTAAACAATTTGGAACGTGTTCGAAGTATACTATTTCATATCATAATATTAACTTTATATTATAATGTTGAATTTTTCTGTTTAAAAACATTATAGCAATCGTGCACAAACCAATGATGTAATCGAGTGTTTGCATTGTTAAAACTAAAAATCGCGAAGTAGAAGCAGTGTTCAATCACTTACGTTTTGCATTTTAAACAATAAGTTAACTTGCATTGATTGCATACAATGCAATCGTTAGAGACAATATTTGTTTATAAAGTTTTCGCTTGTTGAACAGTAGCACAGATTGTATTCGTCAATGATAATAGAATATCGTGAAGTAAATTCAGTGAGCATCCGTTAAAATATAACTATCGCGTATTAGAGACAGTGCGTCACTGAAGAAGATATCAAACAACATCGATGTCAACCTGTCTCATTTTCAACCGCTTACGAATTATCCAGTCTTAATTTCGATCTAAATCGTGGACAAGTGTTTTGAAGATTCGCAGAACTTCTAAAGTAGTAAGTAAACTTTTAAATTCCTCCGGTCACTCATTCATATCAAAGATAAAAGGTTCGAATTGATATAAGTGATTGATTATAATTTATTAGGAGAAGAGCATTGAGTGATCACAAGTAATTTTCTTTGACAATTTACTCGTAAATAGTTTCTTATTTTTTTATATATTTATGAGCTAAGAATAGGGTCCTCTTGTTTTATACGCCTTTATAATTATTTATAAATTTAATGTTCCAATGGATTATTAAATATTTTTCTTTCGCGAAAGTAGTAAAGAATTGATATTAACGAGTTCTAATAAAGAATAAGCAAGAAGACATTTGCAATGCATAGTCTCTGGATTATAAGCGAAATTGAATGATATTTTTTTTAATAATTACAGTAATCGCTTGTAAAAATGAGCATTCAAAAATTTTTCATTAAGTTTTTCTAGGAAAATTAATTAAATATTGAATCGATTTTGTTGATAAATAAAGTTTCAATAGAGTTATTGCTTTAAAATAAAAACGTCGAGCAGTCATTGCTTTTGAAAAAAAAAATCGAGTAGATTCATTAATAAAAATAAAAAATAAAAAATAAAAAATAAAAAAAAAACTTGTACAATAAAATCGCAGCCCGTAGACCCTGGGAATAAGTTAATTCATTTTTAATTCAGGATTTTCAGCAATTAATATATTCCAAATAATAATTCCAATTTCTCTTACGCTGCAAAAATTTATCTCTCGAAAATGTGGTAATCAGTTTCAATCCAAAGAGATGAGGTTCTTATTTTCCAGGTATATTAGGGTTTCCTTCTGTATCTTATATCACGAATATTTGAAAATGAAATTAACAGTAATATTCGTGATACAGATGAGTTATGAAAACGGTAATGAAAAATATAGCTACAAGAAATATATCTCGCCATTATCGATTTAAAATTAACCGTATTGAATACACATTGGTTTAGATCTTTGTATGGAAAGCTATAAATGCGTCTCCAAATGTAGCACGGTTCATGTGGTGAGACCTAGATCGGTATTACTTATGTTCTATCGAAATCTAATGCTACACAAATATTATCGGTAGAATAGATGCATATAATAGTTTATTCTAGATTAATTATTCTAGATTAATTATTCTAATGTCTTTCAGGTGGCAACTTTGAGAGCAATTGGGCGGACTGTTTTCTTTCAGTATTGTGTAGAGCTTTCGAGTCCCCCCTTGAGAGGATTTCCTTCCTTCAGTTAAGAAAAATCGAGCTCTGGTATAGCGCGGATGAAGAGATCTTCGAGATGTCTAACTTTTGTTCCGAGTTCCATCGTTTTTACATTCGTATGCGTTCTGTAGCATCTACCAGCTTCCTTTTATTTTCTTTCTCTTCCTATTCTTTTCCAGACTAGATTGCCAAGGGTTGAACTTCTCTTCCTCTTTTTATATCCTTCTCTACTTCTCTACTAATTTTCTTACTTTTTTCCTCTTTTCTTTTCTCTTCCTCTACTAATCTTCGTTTTTTTTTTTCATATAATATTATAAAGATTAAAGAGCGAAACTTGATATTAATGATATTTGAAAAATTTATTAATTGATGTTTAGATACAATATAATATAAACAATATCTAAAGTTAAGAATTTTTATTTGTCTATGATGGAGAAACAATACATTTTTAAAATTAAAAAGAAAATTTTTTTTAATTTTTCAAAATTTGAAATATAGCAGTAAAATCGTATATTTTAAGATGACAAACATTTTGCGGTGATTTGTGCTAGATACGACACAGCGCCAGTACAATTTTGTCTACACTTGTCACTGAAGTTACACACACTTCGAACAAAAAATAGTGAACAGTCTTAACAGAGCTCTCTTTCTCAATCGAAGGGAAAAAACTCGTATATCTTAATTTAATTGGAAGAAAGACGTCTTCAATGGAAATAGAATTATATTGGACATCGTGTTTTTATCACGGTTTATTGCAATCTTGTTGAAGCCGCACTTGATAATGCATTTGACTTGCATTTCCTCTTGAATGCAACGGCATTGACTCGATAAGCCGGCGACTTTATTAATTATTTTTCATATTCAATCCCTTTATTTTATTTTTCTATCTGTATGATTTTTTCACAGTACAATAACAAACCAATGTAAATATTTATCTATTTCGATTCACTTAAAGTGCATATTCGAAAAAATAATATTACATAAGAACATAAAAAATTAATCAATAAAGATTGTAAATAATAGGCATATTGATTACGCATGATTATAGTTTAAACATATTTCCTTTGTCACTGAGAAAAGTAATTATTGGAAATATCAATAAATCAAATGTTTATTAAATATTTTAGTGGATCAACATTTCGCTTTGATATTATTTGGTAATATGATTATATAATTTTCAATATGATATAAATGAAATACATATCACAAGATGGACGTGATAACGTGAGAATCGTATCGATTGTCTTTCTTATTGTTTGATTTTTGATAAAACATTTATTGTTATGTACTTTTGATCGATCCACTTTTCACTTATAAAAATCGAAATGATAAATAGGAAATTTATTTGGACTTTCGTCTAGAATTTATTTCATTTTCTTCACGTAGGAAATTATCAATATGTTTTTAGATAAAAAAAGAAATATAAAAATGAAAAATAATGAAACATTAATTATAACAATTAATTTATTAGCAACGAAAGGATTTCGATTAAATTCAATTTGATTTCAAATCGTCTTATGCCTCGAACATATTATAAAAAAGAGAGATTAAAGTAACAATAAAAAAAATGTTATTCAATTTTCATTTATAAAAGTTGAACATTTTAAATCGCAAGCATAAATATGATGCGTTTTGTGAACATAATATAGTCCGCTATCTGTATGGAAACGGGAGCGAACAGTAGGGTCGATGGGGGTGGTTTCTGGGATTTTCAGTACGCGCGCGACCGCCGAGCCGAAAACATACTCCTTCTGTATATCCCCTGTAGTCGTTCTTAAGTTGGTGACTTTTAAACTCCATTAGATATAAATGACATCGAAATATAAACGGAGTTTTTTTTTTATCCAAAGAATAATCCAATTAAACTCAACTTTTTCCCGTTATAATTATTTTATAAACTTTCTTTCGTGAAATATAGTCAATGAAAAGTAGTCTAAGTATAAACAAAAAAGTTTCGTTATCAATAATTTTTATCTTGATTAGTGAACAGTGCCTATTTTACGATAATAAAAAAAAATATATATGTATTAGAAAAAATTTATCATATCGAACGAAATTAGTGTAACTCCTTTTTATCGGAACATCATTTTACAATGTGTACGATTTAATAAACAATCATTTATCCTTTATAATATTCCTTCGTTAATTATCATATGAGCAATAAGATATTATCGATCAAAATTTCATTATCATCCTGAAAATTTCACACTCTGTTTTTCGTTACAGTGATAAAAATTTTAATCATTCGAAAGTCTGTTAGAATTTTGCACGACACGTGATTCGGATCATGATTCACGTTCAATCAAATATATTATTAAGCGCGATAAGTCTATCTTATTTGCGTAGTTCTTGAACGTCGATATCGTTATTTACAATCGATGAACGACATTCTCATTGGACCATTGTGCAACATCGAAGAGGATTTTAATTATTACATCGAGTAAGTTATAAGATTTGTAATATTACTATATGTTGAAACACAATAGAACACTTATGTATTTTATACAAAAGTTTTCCGATAAATAAGTGAAAGTTTTAGAGAAGTATTACTCGCGGCAAACTTTCTATAAGCAAAAATGTGAGAAAATATTTATTTTCTGATGAAATTGTAAAGATGAAAACTTTTTCTGTATTACATCCATAGAATATATATATATCAAATCTATCTTTTCTTTTTTTTGATAGATATGTGTATATACGTATATATACACATAATATTAATATATATATATATATAATATCTGACAATACTCTTTGAAATATTCTCAACTTGTGTATCCTAAGTATAGAAGAATTCTAATGAAACACATGTTAATCAATTAGGAATAGAAGAATATATTTTTAATCGTTGAGGATAATCTGATGCATATTTCATTCAAATAAAAATCATTGGTATAATAAATAAAAAATACGTTGAAATCGATACATAAAATTTATGAAATAATGTAAGAAAAGTAATCATTCGATAAATATTGTTCGATGATGTATGGAGATCAATAATCAATCATTTTAACGGCATCCCTTATTCATGTCACACTTATTCTTTAAAAAATCGGAACATTTCCAAATGAAACAGACAATTTCGTATTCATTTTAAAATACTAACGATGAATATCATATTTCCACCAAGTTCATATCTTACATCCCAAATAGAGAACAATGTGTAATTAAGGAACGAAACAACAGACACGTTGTGCTTGGCATAAAACAGTGGAAAGGAGAAAAATACGTATTACTTAAATTCAATTGAATTCGGCATCGTGGATTTTAGAATCCGTGGAATGTTCTAATTTATGATCACGATAGTGCTACGTGGGTACTTGAAAAAGGAACAGAGAAAAAAGGAGGGAGAGAGAAAGGGAGAGAGAGAGAGAGAGAGAGAGAGAGAGAGAGAGAGAGAGAGAGAGAGAGAGAGAGAATAATACTCCAGGAACAATTTTATGCTAACGGTATTTACATTAACACCGAACGAATACCAAATTAAATTTCTTATAGACGACAAAACGTGATCGTATTTATTATCAAGAAGCAAATTTGAAAATGGATTCGATAATATCTGCAGGCTTGTTTATTTCATGTTACATAATAGAAAGTGACGTTTTCAAATAATTAAACATCTCGTCATAACGTTGACGTTAAAGAGAAGGAACAAAAAACGTATTCAGTGAACGAACTCTCGTAATTGATCGAGAGGACAAAAGAGAAAAAAAGATTAATAGTCTGGACCACTCGCTATCCCGTTACCACCTAACTGTGTAAATCTCGTTATCGTCGTTCTTATTACACTGAGCCTGACCTACGTAA